AATGTGTGTGTGCGTGTGTGTGTGTGTGTGTGTGTGAGAGAGAGAGAGAGAGAGAGAGCAATCTAACTAACTATGCATCTCCCCCCCCCCTCCAAAAAAAAAAAAAACAAACAAACAAACTTCGAAGTGTAGTATAAGCTTCGATCAGTTTCATATCCTATCCTTCCCCCCCCCATGAGCAAGCGTAGCTGCTCTGGTCAGTTTCGTACCTGATCCGTGGTCCATTGAGACATTTTTATTTTGAAAAAGAAAAAAACATGCGTGTGCGAGAGAGAGAGAGAGAGAGGGGTCCATCGAGATGGTTTAAACGCACGTGTGGAAGACGCTGGAGGGAGGAAGGGAGGTGAGAGAGAGAGAGAGAGAGAGAGAGAGAGAGAGAGAGAGAGCATGCGAGCCGCATGCCCTCCCTCTCATTCTCTTTCTTGGCATGCGAACCCAACCTAACTATGTGCCTAACCCCCCCAACCCCCCACACGATCAAGTGTAGCACCTGCTTCGATCAGTTTCATATACTCCTCCCCACACGATCAAGCATAGTATCTGCTCCGTTCAGTTTCATATCCATCGAGACCTTTTGTATTTTAGAAAAGAAAAAAAAGCACTCGCACGTGCGAGTGAGTGAGCGGGGGAGAGAGAGAGAGAGAGAGAGAGAGAGAGAGAGAGATAACCCAACCTAACTAGCAATGGGGCTCCTGCCCTCTCCCCTCCACACGGTAGTATCTGCTTCGGTCAGTTTCATATCCGATCTTTCCCCCCACATGATCAAGTGTAGTACCTGCTCCGTTCAGTTTCATATCTGATCAGCGGTCCATCGAGAGATTCAAGACCTTAGATATTTTAAAAAAGAAAAAAGCAATACGTGCATGCGCACGCGCGCGCGCGAGAGAGAGAGAAAGAGAGAGAACCCAACCTAACTAGTATGTGTTCCCCCCCCCCTCCGTACCCCCCGCACGATCAAGTGTAGTATCTGCTTCGCTCAGTTTCATATCCGATTCTTCCCCCCACACGATCAAGTGTAGTACCTGCTCTGTTCAGTTTCATATCTGATCCATGGTCCGTCGAGAGATTCGAGACCTTTTTTATTTTAGAAAAGAAAAAAACAGCACGTGCACGTGCGCGTGCATGAGAGAGGGAGAGAGAGAGAGAGAGAACCCAACCTAACATTGTGCGCCTCCCTCCCCTCCTCCCCCCCACACGGTCAAGTGCAGTATCTGCTTCGATCAGATCCGTGGTTCATTGAGACGGTTGAAAAAGGGGGGGGAAAGAAACAAGCACGTCCAAGACATGGGAGAGAGACAAGAGAGACCCCAATCTAACCTACTGCGCGCCATCCCCCCTGCCCCCCTCCCAAACTATCAAGTGTAGTGTCGGATCCATGGTCCATTGAGACGTTTTACCAAAAAAAGAAAAGGGGGTGCGCACGCTCACGCGCGCGAGAGAGAGAGGGAGAGAGGGACAGAGAGACCCCAATCTAACCAACTACGTCCTCTCCCCCCCCCCCACCCAACAAACGATCAAGTGCAGTATCTACTTCCCTTCACCCACCCCTGCCCCCCAAGATCAAGCGTAGTATCTGCTCCGGTCAGTTTCATATTTGATCTGTGGTCCATGAGTACCTTTTTATATTAAAAAAGAAAAGATAAAAAAGCATGCGCATGCACAAACTAGAGAGAGAAAGAGAGAGAGAGAGAGAGAGAGAGAGAGGTCTGTAGAGATGGTTTAAACGCCCGCGCAAGACGTGGGAGAGAGAGAGAGATTGCCCAATCTAACTAACTACGTGCCACCCCACCCTCCACCCCACCCGCGATCAAGTGTGGTACCTGCTATGATCAGTTGTGACGCGCGCGCTCTCGAGAGAGAGAGACCCCAATCTAATTACACGGCCTGCCCGTTCCCCCGCCCCCACACGATCACAGAATTGCGTATCTCACGACATCTGAGAAAGAATATTTGCGGTGTGCGAGAGACAGGTATGCAACGTGTGACATACACACAACAGGTGAGTTCAAATCCGAACAACCACCTATAAATTCAAACTGTGATCAGGTCTCTGACAGGTCGAAAAAGCAAAAAAAAAAAAGAAAAAAAAACATCTATTCAAGGCATACAAAGYAGCAGCAGCATTCCATCGGCAGTGTCAACAACAGTGCACAGGTGAGCATTAAAAAACACCCCGGCCGCACCCAAACCCACACACGGACCAACAAACCCCCAGCCACCCTCATCTGCACCCTTTTGCCTTCATTTTTTTTGCGGGCGAAGCCACAACAGGTAACCTTGTATATGATGAACTTCTGTCGGTTTCGTTGTCCTGAATGACTCGGGTAGCATTCTGCTGGAGAGAGAAAGACTGTGTGTGTGTGTGTGGGGAGAGAGAGAGAGAGAGAGAGAGAGAGAGAGAGAGAGAGAGAGAGAGAGAGAGAACAGGTTAGTCTCCAACCTTGCGGCTGGCGTCATGATAGAGACAGCGAGCAGACGTTCTGCGCTCAGCGAGCAGCCTTTGCACGTGTGTGAGCGAGCAGCCTTTGCACATGTGTGTGAGCGAGCAGCCTTTTGCGTGCGAGTGAGCAGCCTTTGCACGTGAGTGCAAGCGAGCAGCCTTTGCACGCGCGAGCGCAGCATTTTCATGTGCAAGGAGCAGCCGTTTTGTGCTCAGGAGAGAGAGAGAGAGAGAGAGAGAGAGAGAGAGAGAGAGAGAGAGAGAGAGAGAGAGGGAGGGAGTAAACTGCTCGCATGCGAACGAGTAGCCTTTGCACGTGCGGAGCAACATTTTCACTTGCGAGTAAGCAGTCCTCGTCCAGGAGAGACAGCAAGCAGCTGTTTTGCGCTCGGGCTGGGTTGGGGTATGGAGAGAGAGGGAGGGAAGCTGGGAGGGGGGAAGAGAGTTAAATACTGTCATGGATACCCTTCCAAAATCTCTATTTCTCTGTCAGTATCTTTCAATTTAGCACTCGGTTCTTGAAATATTCCTAATAGCCCACCAACCAGTGCTGTAAATGTTTCTGACATGTGCAAACTGCAACCGCTATGCCCTGCATCCATACATCCTCAATATGCCCCCCTCCAGAACACCCATTGTTGGCTCGCTTGTACAAATCAACACTATTCTGGAGGGCCCAGATCTTGCCTTTTTGTAGCAAATATGCTTGCCTGACCATTTCTCTGTGGAAACAATCACTGCTCGCTCCCATTTGGATGTCAAAACAAACCACCAGCAACCATAATCACACACCAGGTGAAGGGATTGTCTGCAGCCTGGCTCACACATGCTTGCTCTCTTGCACCTTGAATGTTGCATTTGCTATACACCCTCTGCATCGTCCTCGCTTTGGAGCACTCCTGTTTCTATCTACTGTGTGATACATTTCAGCTTGGTATTACACCTCCCCTCCGTGCGACATTATTCTAACTTGAGGTTTCTTTCAGTTCTACCCCTCTTCATTTCTTTTTGTCGTCCCTTATGCCAAACACACACGCAACCCCGTCTATTTTTCGGGGCACCAGTCCGGGGATAAGAGGGGTCCAGAAACAAACAGAAAGTGAAGGATGCACTTTGGTGACTTCCTTCTGCTTTCTGAACTCCTTGATTGTCAAATAAGACTCTCCCATTAACCCAGGTGAAGCTGCGAGGGCTCTTCTTGTGACACCTGAAACTTCACTTGCAAATATGTTACATGTCACTGTCACATATGGACTGTGTGAAGATGATTGGCTTCCTCAACATGAGGGATTGCTGGACGGGCTCCCCAGGGTTGTGACATTTCGTTATGGGGAAAAACTATTGCTTGACCACCCTGGTTAGGTTGTACCATAGACGCAATATATTTGTATTCCCAACTGAGATGGTAGTACGTTCTACTATGGGAATGGTACCTAGAATGCAGCAGCGTATCGGGGAAATTACAGTGCATATTGGTACTTCCTGCTGTGTACAGGAGGTGCGTCCTGCTGATGAGTTTGATGATGGTGATCGAAGTGAGAAAGCTATAATGTTCCGGGCGAAGAGACGTCTACGGGAGAGCACCCAGATGATGCAGCAACTGTTTCAGCCATTGCCCTCACCTCTGGGTTCATCCAAGTTGGTGGAGGATCGGGAGTGTGCTGTTTACCTGTTTGCAAAGATCAGTGTGGAAGAGATCAACGGGATGTGTCATAGTCTTAAAGATGCTGAGGCCACTTATCAAGCAAAGCGAACAACACGGCTGGTGAACATCCTGCGGAAGGGAACTGCATCACGGAAGTCACCCCTGAGTGAAGCCATTGTTGAGGAGTAAGTGGAGCGATTGACTTGGTTACCCCACTTGAAGCCCTCCAACTCCCTGTCCAACCCTTCGCCACCCTGAAAACGCTGTTTTCCGACTATGGCTATGACTTGGGTACCCCACTTGAAGGCATCCCAGCTCCCTGTCCAACCCTTCACCACGTTGAAAACGCTGTTTCTGACTATGGCTATGTCCAGTTCCCTTGGTACGATGAATCCAAGTAGGTTGCTCTAGGAAAGCAAAGTTGAGGGGGGAATCCTGCCTGCCAGTTCTCACGACCTTGTGATCTATGATGTTGTCATAAAGTTTGAATGTTGCTGGAATCCCTCGCCCTTGCGCTGTTCCACTTGTGACTGTGGATCCTGCACTTCCCCTCGACAATCCATGTTGGTCTTTCCCTCTTTGTTGAGAACGCTCCCCCCACCCCTTGTCTCCTTGTGCATATTTTCTGCTTGCATATGACGGTCACGGTTGTCAAGAGGGGCTTGTGTTTGTAATTTTGTATCCTTGTTGCAGGGTGCTGTGACTTGCTTGTCCTTTTGTTCCCTTGAAGTTTGAGACGGGTCGAAGCGGAATTTACCTTTCCTTTCTCTCAGTAGTCCTTTCCGAACCACACGCCAGCTGGTCTATTGTTTGTTTCTTACTGCACGAGAGGTCTGGTTCAATTAGTTGGCCCTGCGATGTTTTGTCTTTCCCAATCACTATCAAAATGCCCTTTTGCCGAGGTAGAGATAGGCCTAAATATGTGTGGCGAACGGACTAGACCTTCAGCATCCGGATGGGTGGTGGTGGGCCCAAACACGTCCGAAGAACAAAAAAAAGGCATGGCTAGACAGCGGGCGAGGCTGATCCATGGATCGATCTCACCCATAGATCTCATACACTGCATGCTCAGAGTTCAGCAGCGGCAAGGAGGCAAAGAACAAATGACGAGAGGCCTGCATTATCTGGTGTGAATCTGGCTGTCAACCCAACCAAATACATCCACACGAATATGAAGAAAATACCACCACCAGTGAGGTTCGTTTGTCTTGGCCCTGAACTGTCAGAGGGCGGTGAAAAATGGCTCTCTCGCTCTCTCTATAGTGTCTCTCTTTTGCCCATTGGATGTACCTGGCATGGCTTGTGGCGAGGAAGGACGTTTCTGAAAGCCAAATACATACAACGAGCACAGGAGAGTGTGCCATTGAAGTGGAAGAGCCATCGAATCCACAAATGGTCGGGGGGGAAAAATCAGGAAAAAAACATTGTGAAGAAAAGAAGTGGAACAGCTGTTTTCATGGCCCTTCTGACCTAAGACGAGCACTAGAGTGGACAGCTCCAAGTCGGAGACTTGTTTTCACTACATTGAAACAATCGCTATTTGGCGGCCTGTGCCCAGCAGCCAATCTGGGCCATCCGTTTCGTTGGCGCGCGACGGTCGAGAATGGCTGCTGATCACTTTCAATGTCATGAACTTGCAATCTGGACCTCGTGTTGATCGGTTTGGAGACGATCACTGGGCCGGTAGCGAATTCCCGCTGGTCCGGTAGGCCCTGGCCCAGTATTACCACGCGCGGCACTCTCCAGGCCGATTTTTGGCCCGGTAGTATGGCCCGCGGCACTCCCCAGGCCAATATCGGAAGGGTACGCATGTGCAAGGTTGATGTAAGTAACATTTTTTGGCCAGGCTGCGCCAGAAAGAAATGACGAACACTACACGCGGGGTTGATGTAAATAACATTTTTTGCCAGGCTGCGCCAGAAAGAAACGGCAAACTTCAACCTCGACACTAATGTAAAGGCCACACTGGACTTCGACGCTGGCTGGCTACGACGCTACTGTACACAACTGGACTTAGACTCCCTATGTTCGATGCTACTGTACCCTGCTACAATCGAAGTTGCTACTCTCTCTCTCTCTCTCTCTCTCTCTCTCTCTCTCTCTCTCTCTCTCTCTCTCTCTCTCTCTCTCTCTCTCTCTCTCTCTCTCTCTC